CGCTCCGTCCCGTTAACAAGAGACTGCGAGCGTTGGTGGTCAGAGTCACTCATTGCTTTAATTATCTCCATAACTCAGGCTGTAGAGTGAATCTGTGGCAGCATAATGACTCGTTGGGCTGGTCAGATGCACTGCTGTATTGCAGTACGTGAGTGGAGGATATGTCTGCCAGAAGAAAGCGAGCTACCTATAACTGAACGGGATGCATTCATGGTCATCGCCAAGCGCAAGATTGAGTAGCGACATTATCCTCCATGTCGACAGCATGCCCAAGTGTGAAACGACCAGGTAGTATTTTATAATTTGCTAGTGTACAATATTGCAATACTATGAAGTTTATTTGGGAGCGTTGGTTGTACCACAGAAATACACATGTAACTTACAGTTTATTTGGAAGCGTTGGTTGTACCACAGAAATACACATGGAACTTATAGTTTATTTGGGAGCGTTGGTTGTACCACAGAAATACACATGTAACTTACAGTTTATTTGGAAGCGTTGGTTGTACCACAGAAATACACATGGAACTTATAGTCTATTTGGGAGCGTTGGTTGTACCACAGAAATACACATGTAACTTACTGTTAAGGAAACTTATTTAACTCATTTACGTAACTGTTGGGTATTTTACAATTTTCTACTCCGTACGTGTACTAATCTTCAATGTAACGATTGAATTATCATCAATTTATTCAAATGAAACTCTACATGTCCAATATCATCATTGCACGCATGACCGAGTTTCGCCACGTTCGTTCCTACCAAGTGCCGAGTTTCCCTCATTCCGACTTACACTACCTCGCTTTGGTGTATCATATTCTAACAGCGAAATATGTGTACATGTTTCGCTGTGTACATTAGTGCCAATGAGTATTGTGTGTTCTACTCAAAATTTCCACGGGCTGTTCTTAAATCGCCCAGATCCGAAAGTCCGCGAAATGACCCCAATGACAAAAAGTGGGGTTTTCCTCACAAAAAAATCGATAATGATCACCCTATTATGACGCAGTTTCGCGAGCTGAGTTACTGGATGACCCAACCTTGCAGCACTAACACCTGAGCACGTTGGAATCGTATGCGTGTCTCTCCGTATCCCAAGCACACACGCACACCGAATGTACACACATACATCTCAAGTACACCAACTGGACGCCCGCGCTACCGCAACGTGCGATTACATGTCGTCGTCAGTTGTGGAAGCTGAGTTTGATGTCCAATCTCTGCCCAAAAATCGAAATTCTATCCAATCATACATTATCATCGTGGTTGTTGTTGGCGATTTTCACAATCGACGGCTACGTTGTCAATCATGCAGACCTTACGCTGCTTGTGTCCCATGCTAATCAGATCGATTGTGGATCGGTTTGGTCGGCGCGATTCGATTGCACCCCCTCCCCAAATTTGTATCAAATCGACAAAAGTATAATTTCAAATTATTGTTTGTAGTAGAAAGTACTACAATCTGTATGGTGCATTACTACAGATCGGCCATCCTCAGGAGGAGACGTTTTACTATTAAACGCCTCGGTTATTTCAGTTAAACCCACGTAATGTTGACGTTAAATT